GTCAAGTTTTGGTATTTATCAATATTTTCTATATTTTTTCTTATTTAATTTATAAAACACATACAAAACTAATTGAAATTTAAATAAATGTATATGTATTTTTCGAGTCTGGGAAAGGAAGAGGTGTGATCCTCTAGCAGTGACGAAAGGGGTACGTGGTGCAAAAAAAAAAAGGTGAGAATCAATGTCCTAGCCCGTTACGCGGGTGACATCGCTATTGTGGTTAAATCTACTGTGCCCAGATTTTTGTTTGCCACATTCTCGAAATTGAATGACGTAAAGCAAATGACGTTTATCCATTTGCATAACTTGAAGCATATCCATAAATTGATGCGAATCGCAACTTTTAATCGTGAGAAGATGCAAAATGGATCGTCCAATTCAGAGAAAACAAACGAGGAAATCCCGAGAGTAACTAGTCAAGAATCGGGGGGGTGTTGTAATCTTAAGGCACAATCTCAAGTGGGATTTCAATATTAAATCTAGCGTTAGTGGAGAAACCTCTGTGATTCAGCTGCTCATGCCTGTAATTGGATATAGACCTATTTGAGATCTCAGGAGCAAAGGGACACTTTATATCACTATTATCCAACCAATTTTATGCTGCGCCTTTCCATCTTGGGCAGCGGTTTTTCCAGCTGATATTAGTAATATGCAATTAATCCAAAATAAAGTATTAAAAATTATTACCAGTGCCTTTAAATTATTATCTAAATTTATGCTGTGAGGTGTTATCGATGAGCCATGTTATCCAAGTAGCCATAAAGGCTGTAAATTATATTCGATCGCATGCGCTTTCGTACCGACAGTTTAAGGAATTCCTAATACAGGCGAACATCGTCTTTTACACATAAGTGATTCCTGAAAATGCGTGCAAGTACCGAATGTTTGAAAGTAGAGGGATGTTAAAAAAAAAGCCATTAAAATTTGTATTTTAAAATTTTTATTTATCAGCATACTTGTCAAGAGTCAGTTGAATACCACCCATCAGCTTCTCCTTCCTTACTTTCACTATGTATTTCATTTAATTCTTGTTCAAAAGTATTGTTACGGATTTGGTATTTAAATAGCTAATGTTAGTTGAATTATAAATTAAATTGTTTTATTCCCCGTGCAGTGCAGCGCGTGATGAATATTAAAGCAAAGCCGGAAACTTAAAAATACAAGAGCACGTGCATTTAATATTTAATAAATAAATATCTCTTTTTGATATCGAGAAAGTTCCAGAAAATTCTCGCGCACGATTTAAAATCTTATAAAAGGAGGAAAACCTCTCAATTCAATTGTTAGTTAGTTTGTTGTTGTTTTAAGAGTTTGTTTAAAAAACTGCTCTTGTTGAGTGTAGCGAATTCGCAGATTAGCTTTTCTCTAGCTGTTTTGAATTAAGTTCTCTTGAACGTTTGAGTAGTTGTACGAATATCTGGGGAAATTTAAGCATATTTGTTGTGATAATAATAAATTTTGTTCATTTTTCATCGGATTTGTGCATTTAATTTCAAACGAACCCGTACGCACGCAAAAGTATTCATTTGATAGAGGTACTGATGAGATTGAATCAACTCATTAAATTCTTCGTTGTCGACTTGCAAGTTTAGTTCATTCATTAGGCTAACTCTCAACTATGACACTTTCAGAAGTTTCTTCAAAATTTATAAAATCACTCGTCATTGTGGGCATAACTGTTTTCAGAAACATTCATTGTTGACTGTTTTACTTCAGCCCGCGAGTCTCCAGTACTGTTTATTGCGTTCCATACATTCCAAACATCTCTAGGTCCATCTTCCCTGCCAGTTGCTTTGATGACCTGATGCATTATTATCTTCATGTAATATCGTTTAAACGTAACTATCACTGTTAAATTCATAGGCTGCAAGAGGCAGGTAAGAATTAGAAGGAAAGAACACAGCATTGGTTTCTGGATATCAATTTGGCAGAGATTTTGAGTGCCCTGGATCGCTGTCTAAGAATAAATAATGCTTTAAACTGCAAGTTCTTATCTTTACAATATTACTCAACTGCCAGTTCGAAATGAGAAATGAACTAATCGTCAAATATTAACGCAGCAACATGCTCTACAGCTTGTCTTTCTTCTTTCTGGTTTTGTTTGGTTTATTTAATGATGGGAAAACACTTGAAGGCTTTTTGCCTAAAGGGTAGGTGACATGCCTTCCTGGAGGACTTCCATTTATGGTAGGGAAAATAATAAAGGGAACTGACTTCCATTTATGTTGCACAATCTCGGCATGAAACTAATTGATTTACAGTGGAGTGACGAATTGAAACGCATTTTTCGAAACATCAGAATCAAAAACTGATTTTTATAATACTTACATAACAAATTTTTTTTAATTTGCGAAATCTGGTCCAAAAAGTTGTATGTGCTTTTGAATCAACTTATGTCATAAATCACGGGCGCCTTAATTGGCGAAAACCTGCAACATCATTTACGATAAGCAAATGCATATAATGAGATCAACTTGAAAAAACTAGTATATGAAAGAAATGAAACAAATATCGCACTGAATTATATAATTGCTATTCGATTGTTTTATTGATTATTACTGTTATAATTATTTATGTGTAGTCATATATGTTTAGCTGTTCTATTGTTAATTTATGAATGATAATAAAAAATTTTTAAAAACGTATTCTGTTTGAAATTTTCACCTAAAAAATTTATATATTTATGTACAATGTGGCCGGCCGAAATAAAATGCATTTCCAAGGCGGGCAACAACTTCTAGACCTGTGACACAACACGTTTGGCATGCTATGCAAATACAATTAGCTATCGAATACAGAAATTCAAATCGTCACAAAACACCCAAATTGTAGAACGCTTTGCAGAAAGTATGGTGCGCATTGTCTGCAGAATATTTCCAGAAGCTTGTGAACTCCATGCCCAATCTTATTGTTGCAGTCCTTCGCTTCCGTAGTGTTTCCTAACACTTGAATGTACGAGGGGCAATCCCAAAAAAAAGGTCTCCTATTTTCTGGGGACGTAGAGAAAGTTTTAATACGGTTGTTGGCAACACTGTTGTGAGTGGTGCCTTTTCCGCTACCACATAAGCACGCAGGCGCTTCGCTCGGATGCTCAGTCTTGGCTTGGCAGCCATTCGAAATGGAGCTCCCGATAAACGTTACCGCCAGGTGCGAAGTGCGGGCAGTTATTCGATTTTGAACGCAAAACGCGTTAAACCGGTTGAAATTTACCGCCTATTGACGGAAGTGTATGGACAGTCGTGCATGGATGTCAAAAACGTTCGCAAGTGGTGTAGAGAGTTTCCAGCCGGTCGTACTGAAATTCATGACGAAGAAAGGAGCGGGAGGCCGTCAATTGCCGACGAGACAATCGCGAAAGTTGAGTGAAAAGTTATGTAAGTATAACTCAACTGTTCGTATTCGTTGAGTTCCGCGATTGTTGAGTTCGTAAAATGCGTAAAGATCGGAGGATCATCTGGATGCTCCTGAAGCTCCTCAACACTTCCTGAAGGGCATGGCGGCAAGCTGGTATGACATGGGCATTGTAAACTGCCACAGCGTCTACAAAAATGCATCGACCGAAATGGCGATTATGTTGAAAAATAAAGCATTCTTCAATCTTTAAAGTGATGTAGCAATTATAGAAAATAAACGGTTCTTTGTATATCTAAAAATATAGGAGACCTTTTTTGGGGGGGGATTGCCCTCGTATATACTGAAAGCAAAAGTGGAAAATCTCTATAAGGGGGGAAAATAGAAAGTATGCAGTCAAGAAAAAACAGTTACGTGCATTCTAAATATATGTGATGGGATATTTAAGCCAGAAAACTCCAGATAATCAGAGAGAAAATAATACATAAACAAGCTACAAAAAGACAACTAGAAACTAATTAGGGAGATGTACCTTTTAAGATTTACCGAAGTTAACAAATCTAATTAAGACACAATAACACGCCGAATAAATACTAATTCAGAAGTCAAACAACAAAAATCAGCGTTATACCTACAAAATTTTCACATTCCTGTGAAATTTTCACAGGACTTTCAGTCCTGTGAAAATTTTGTAGGTATAACGCTGATTTTTGTTGTTTGACTTCTGAATTAACAAATCTATTTAATGCTTTATTCTTCGATAACTGAGTTTGAGCAGTATGCTTACTTATATATGTACAGTAACAGATATTTCAGAGTAATATTACATATGTTTTATAAAAAGATAAATTTAAGTCAGTTTTATATATGAAAAGTAGTAATATTTACCAAATCGCATAAATAAGTTTTAAATTTAGCTGATTATTAATACAGGGTGGCCCAAGATATACCGAACCCAAAGCAAGTGCATAGTATATGAACTGTAAGGTTATGCTATACAAGTAGATGAAAGACAAGGTCAATGTATCTAGCTCGCTGCATGGCATTTGAGATGTTTAACTACTTGTTCCTGCGTTGCACTAACGCTTTTCATTTTCTCCTGTCCGATATCCGATGCGGTTTATCATGGCCCATCTTGTGTAACCAAAAATTTTCCATTATTATGCCTGATTTTGTTACGCCTCCTATTCCTCCTAAAAATAGGTGATAGTTATAATGTACATTTATATTATTTGAAAAACTTGTTTTCTAGCATACTCGGTTAAAAAATAAAACTGTATATGTTTTGTGTACTTACACATATTTTACCGAGGACTTAAAATTTCATTTTGAAAGATATTAAAAATATTATTAGAAGTAATCAATCATTGTATGAAATGGCTAAGTAAATGCATTATGTACGCAAATCATTATATAAAAAGAAAGAATGCCTTTTCTTAAAAATATATTGGAAAACGTTTAATGAGTTAGATATTTAAGAGCAACTCTAAACAAAAAATAACTGTTCGCTGTATTTTTGTTATTTTCATGATTAAAGTGCATTTGCAATCATAGTTTTATGCTTCATATTATGCTTTTAATTGCATTCATTATTCTTCTTTTACTAGTATAATAGTATTACTGATATTTCTTACATTTATTTTCAGGTAAAACTTTTCATTGGTTTAGCTCCTGTAACTCATGTTGGAAATATAAGAAGCTCTATTCGTTATCTTGCTCCATTCACATCAGATATTAATGTAATAGAACTATGCATAATTTACTGTATAAGTTCTTTTTTAGTTTTGCCATATTTTACCTATTAAAACAACTATTTTTGTTTCAGTTCCTCTTCCGACTATTAGGAATTAATGAATTTTTGCCAAGCAATGCATTAATGAGATTTCTCAGTGCAGTAGTATGTGAAACGAAATTAAAGATTGTTTGCGAAAACATCATTTTTCTTTTATGTGGTACCGACTATTCTCAACTAAATGAGGTAATATTTATGTAATCCTTTTTTTTTTTTTTTTTTTTTTTTTTTTTTTTTTAAATCTTATAACGATTTTTCTTTGAATAGACTATTATGTTATAAATGTTCTTGTGCCATGAATTGATTATTTTCTTTTAACAGACTCGCCTTGGTGTGTATGTTGCTCATACACCAGCTGGTGCATCTTCTCAAAGTATTATTCATTATGCACAAGTATGATTTTATTTCATTCACATATTTAACTTTATGTATTTTATTTTATAAAAAGAATGAAACGAAAGAAAACACAGAGAAAAGTTTAACTATATACATAAAATTTAGAATAACTAATTAAATATTAATATACTTTACTTCAGGATTAACTTATAAATTGCTCATTAACCTAATTCATGTAACCGGAAACTTCCGGTTTTCGCGTGAAAATCTCCCGATTTTTCAGATTTCAATATTGGCAGCTATGCTGCTGTATTTATCGTGAGATCACAATCATATGCCTCATGCACGAAATACATGTTTTAACTTCATGCTCCTTTTCATCCAATAAAGCATGTTTATTACTAATAGTTGGCCTATTAATATTTTGAAGTAGAGTGGCTTGAAGAATATTAAAGTGTGGAATCGTATAAAAAGTTTTGGCAAGCCAGTTTAGTCCAGAAGTTTACTTTTAATGGTAATTCTAGCTGTAAAAATAGGTGCTAGTTATAATGTACATTTATATTATTTGAAAAACTTGTTTTCTAGCATACTCGGTTAAAAAATAAAACTGTATATGTTTTGTGTACTTACACATATTTTACCGAGGACTTAAAATTTCATTTTGAAAGATATTAAAAATATTATTAGAAAATTCACCTCCTTTCCTGAGATACCATTAATTATAACATGTATGAAAAATAGGCATTTGAAACATATCATTGCATTATAACAATGAGTTAAAAATCACAAAAGAATCATTTATAGTGTTTTAATCAATCTAGATTAAATTTGTAATGACTTAAAATTTCTGTAAAGCATATCTTCATCCTGTTGTGTTGAGATTTACTGCTGGTTTACGAAAGCTTGATTTTTTTTTTTTTTTTTTTTTTTTAAATGATTGCTCTAAAATTGAACTGGGTTTCCAATCTCAACGCAAAACAAAATATTTGCATATTTATATCTGCAGACAGGTGAAAGTGAATAATCAAAATAAAATATACAAGGTATATAAAAGAGCAATGAGACTTTTTTTAATCTGTTATTCAATTAAAATTACAATATCGCAGTATGTCTTTAAAAGTAATCACTTTGAGAAGCCATACGACGTTGGACACGATCTTGCCACATGGACTCAAGTCCGGAGAATAAACAGGACAAGGAAAAAGAAAGACGTAGATTCTTAATAAATCTTAAATTAATGAAATCAGAAGTGAAAGTTTAAGAATAAGTGCTTATCTTAAATTATATATGTAGATCTATTTGCTTGGTTGTTACCTACTGTACCCTTAACACGCAAGTATTTTTTTAACAGAGAAATGATATAGCATTGATTTAAATAACATACTAATTTTAAAGAAATATGTCTTTCTTCTGGGATCAGTCTTATGATCAACACATATGACAAGTGATGGAATGCAAGTAGGAGAGTGATCCAGAATTCAGAATTATTTAAATGACTTTGATTCTAATTCAGATTAATGATGAGAAACCTTTACTTAGTGGATGCTTGTGAGACGTGCTGCAAGTTATTTGTTTGTGATGCATAACTTTAATAGAATGTGTTTTGTTGAAAATCAAATAACTTACTGAAATGTGACCGAATTTCTTATGATGTAATTGTTTTTATCATAAAAATAGTTACTAAAATAATTATGCCGTACAACATATGATACTCAAAAGTCCTTCACGTTTCCAAAAAGCTGGCAGAAGTCTCTGGATTGACACTTGCTGCTAGCTGTTGTATGTGGAATGAGTCAGATATAACCTTGATTGCTCTACTTTATTTATGCATTAACTTTTAACTGTCAGTTAGATTTAATTTATTAATATCCATCTGGCTTGTATTTATTGTGTGGTATTAGGGATAGGTAATCACTTTTATTGTGAGTTTAAACCTAAGGTGTGGTATTTTTCCTATTTTCCTCGTCAAAAAGACTACAGTTTGAGCTTCTTAATGTAATCACATTTTCCCACGACTTCACTGATAACATTAACCGATAAAAGAAAACATTCTTCAAAATATCAACGGAATGCAGTTAATTTAATGTAACTAGAAACATTTTTAAATTAATTTTAATTAGGGGAAAAGGGTAATTTATATCTGAATGTCTGTAATTGTCATGCAAAAGTGTACTTATGAACTGTTCGTAATTTATCTGAAAATTATTTGACCGAAGCTGTTCTCTTAATACTGGTAAGACATCCCTAAGCATTAGTAGGAAATTCGCTGATCTCATAATCATCTTCTTCAGAAAATTCATCACGTGATGCACTAGAAATTTATTGACAAGTACCTTCTTTTATCATTCATACTGCAAATTGAATTTTTTCATCAGTATCCATCTAGGCATTAAATTCTTAATGAATGTTAGTTGGAGAAGCTATTTTTCCTTTTTGAACTCTGTTTCATCATTTATCAAAAGGATGGTGTACTGAAAAGCAATTTTTTAATGTCTTTTCTGAGACTTGGGTTCAAGATATATTGAGCAAATCCTTCGAATCAAGAAGGCTCGTTTTCCGTGCTAATTCATTTGCACTTATATCCGTATCATATAGGTTATAAAGGATTCTAACACTCATTTCACGGTGAATATATTCTTTCATCGCTGTAATAATGACATGGCTGAATTGTGGCTGTGGTATCTGCTAGTAAATATACAACTTCAGTATGCATAAAAGAGGCATGCCATGCGGTATGCAGTTGTCATTAGGGAGAAGAATCAAAGTGGAAGATAGATAGCACTCTTCATTTCTTAATCTAATTCCAAAACCCATTCATTAAATAGTAATTACGTCATCCACGTCTTGGAATTGTACCTATAATCCACTGGTAAATTCTTTACTTCTTGCTGTTGACTAATGCTCACTTGTCTGCGGTATAATCAGCCCAAGCCCATGAAATTCCTCGTTGCAAGGAGCACAAGATTACGCCTGTCGTTGGCAACAGCCTTGAGCACCTAACAGGTGACAGTGCGATTTAGCTCAGTTTCGCCCCCAACTTTGATGGAGAGAACCCGGGGGAGACGGGTCCGAGGGTTTCCCACCCCTCTTTACCCTACCACCAACTTCTTGAGAGGACTTTCGTCTGGCCGCATATTTAGAGTGTCCCCATACCCCACGGACACTATACATTTACAAACATCCATGCCTTCTTCGAGATTCGAACCCGGGCCCTTCGCCACGGCAGTCAGTGACGCTAACCACTAACTATAAATCTCCTTTAGGCCGCTAGGGCTGCTATACTATGCGTCAGTTGTTTCCGATCGTAGGAGTTAAGAACGTCTAGAACAAAACATTTTGGGACATGCATTCAGTTTAAAATCTTTCCTCAAGAACGAATTATCTAAGAAAGGCTGCCAGATTCGGAAATTATTTCTTCTTTCCCAAATATGTTTTCTGCAGTGGCAAATGGTTTTTGTGTTCAAATTTTTTGCGGTGTTTAAAAAAAATGAAATAATAATTTTTAAGTGAATTATATGCAGTGAAGAAGAAACCTGTAGCGAGACTTACAAAAATTCAAATAGTAGCGATGAGGAACAGTCGAGACTTTTCAGAAAGATAATTCTTAACAAAATTATATCTTCATATTCTGATCCGAAAACTGATAAATGCAGTGATAATAAATGTGGTGCAGATACTACTGATTATATTTTACAAGAACTGGTTGTTTAGGAAGAATAGTTGAACCGAAGAAAGCAAAATTCAGTTTAGTGAACGGAATGAATTTAGCTGTCGGCAACACTCATTTTTGTTTTTCTTTCAACAATCAGCATTTTTGCCGTCACCCGAGTACGGGTGACTCGGCAGTCAAAGTGTTAAACATTATCCCCCCCTCCCTAATGTTAGAAGTTTTGTTTCTTACCACACATACTGACGCAGTATAAAACGGTCACATGATCTTTTGATATTTTACATCATTTTCGACTTTCAGTTTTAAATAAATATGTATGATGAAGTAATGCATGAGAGTTTAGACCTGTTTCATCGACTTTAGAAATGTTTTCAGGACAGTACTTCATAGACAATTTAGGCCATTCGTTTGACAACCATGATCCTGCAGCAGGTAAATCAGCATCTTTTACTTACCATGAATGCGTTCTTAAACAATGTTTTCTTTTTTCTTCCATTGGCTAAACCAACCATCTTTTCTTACTACAAAAATCTTTCGCGATTTTTATGGCCAAATCTTAGATTTCTGCCGTTAAGCAAACCTTCAAACTTTCTTAACTTTGTGGTTTTCCAACTACCACATCTGTTTCGGTTTTAATTTCGGTTTTGCTTTAATTTGCAAATTGCATTTTCGCGGTTCTTCAAAATCTGTCATAGGACGGGTTGAGAAATATTTAACTTCCATTTACTCCAGTTAAAAAAATTTATTCTGTGGTGTTTTGATCACATTAACGGATCTGTAGATCACACTGAGCGATTTATTTCCCATGCTTTCGTATACAAACGGGCGGGGTGTTGTAAATCGATAACAATATCCGAGTAAAATTGACCGCGATCGCATTAGGTGGCGTCTGTTGTACTTCATGCTTTTAGTCTTAATATTCTTATAAAGTATTTTCTTCCTCCTTTAGCATGCTTTCATGGTGTAACGGTTAACACAGTCGGCGCGTATTCGAGAGGTCCAGGTTGGAGTCCCGGCAAGGGCATTGCTCATTTTTCACGATTTCTGCTTCAGAAAAATCCTAATGACTGTACCTTCTTTCACATGTATCTCTAAAGCATCAATGTTTTTATAATTTGTAATTTAAAAACAATGTATTTATGATTAGAATCAGAAAACATCTCTGCCAGAATTCAGGTTTATTTGCCTTAATGGGACTGATCTTACGTTATTGCCTTATTGGCATTCTGAAATCATAATATGCAGAACTTGTAGTCCTTAAGAAGATAATCCTATGTATTACATAACAAGATTCTTTTTATTATTATATAAAGCTCGTTATTGAAGTGACATTTTTTTACCTTTATCATATGTTAATATGCAAAATTTGCTTAACTGTTAGAAGCTATAACTCATTATTGTTGAATGCAGAATGTATGCCTTTTATGTTTGTTTAAAATTAATTTTGGAAGTTGTCTATTTTAAGCAGATGTTAACTACTAACATTTTGTTTGTGCTTATCTAATAATATTTCTTACCTCTAAATGCTGCTGTCTACAATAGGCCTACAATATACCTGTCTACAATAGACCTTGCAGCATTTTGAAGCATTGGTGAAATATTTTTAATCTAATAAATGAAGTATTTGAAATGAAATTTTTAAATTTGTATTTCTTCATTTTTAGATGATAAATTCAAAAACGTTCCAAAAATATGATTATGGAACTGAAGGCAATTTATTGCACTATCATCAAGTAAGTTTTTGAATAAGTAATCTTAGCTTTTTGAATAAGTAATCTTAGCTTTTTGAATAAGTAATCTTAGCTTTTTGAATAAGTAATCTTAGCTTTTGAATAAGTAATCTTATCTTTTTATTTAAGTTCTTTTAAAATTAATACTTTCATTGATAACTTTGACCTCTCAGTTTTTGTCAAAAATATATACATGTGTGTGGAGGGGAGGTTGCGTGTATTTAAAAATACGCGATAGTAAAAAAAATAGCTGCTAATATTATATACGTAATCACCTCTCAAAAAATTCAGATTTTGGTCGTCAATGATGAACTTTCTGACAAGATATGGCAAAATGTTTTTTAATCTCCGAAACAGTGCTTCATGGCCGAATTCAGTTAAATCTGTTTCAGTTTTCTGTTCACGTCGATTTGGTTATTATTATTAGAAACAATAAAACTTTGCCTATTTTTTCAATCATTTTTTTATGAAATGTAATATCTTGTAATCCAGTAATATAAAACTTCAGTAAGAAATCATTTCTTCTAAGCAGTGTAAGGTAAAAACGAGTATTTTTATATGATAACTTATCAAGCCTTAGAATGTAACAGTAAGACTTTTTATTTGAAAAACAATATATGGCTTACTAAATAGCCTTTAAAAAAGATGATCAGGCATTTATTTACCAGTTAACAGTTCAGATTCACAGCAAACTTCGATATTTTAAATGGTATATTCATCGATGTACATCTCGTAGTCAAATTTTATACGTTTGTCATAAATACAAATTCAGTTGCTTTCATAATCACATACTGTAAAAGAATTCTAGTTTTGACTATTTTAATTTATGTTATTTAAAAAATATTGATTATTTTGAGACAAATTCATCTTAGAATTATATTCTATCTCTTTAGATATTTGAGTAAAACACTTTCTACCCTACAGACAACTAAATATTACAGTATTTCGTATGCAAACTGCTTTCATTTCCTCCTCTGGAAATACCATTAAATTCCAATATAGCCAGAAGATTTTATTCACTTGAAAAATTCTGTGTTAAGTAACTAATGTGAATCTTATATTATATTCATTTGCCGTGTATGAATAGACATTATCTCTTTGATAAAACAATTAACAGACGCTAAGTATAACATTACAGCTAATTTGAATATTAATTGTATTTTACTACAAAGTCCTGAATTAATTAAATATATATTTTCCGAAATGTGTAGATGATTATAAAAAAATATGGTTCTTTTTTCAAAAACTGAATTTATGTTTTAAGTAATTCTTAAAATGTTTATTCTATATTCTGCGTATGATAAAAAGTTATTCAGCTTTCCTTCGAGTTCACGCTGTGTAACTGTACTGTTAAGCGAAATTGATGGATGTTAAGAGCTTATACAAATAGCGAATATGGCGCTTTTGCATAGTAAAAAATGCTAATTATATGCGTACAGAATTTATTTGATTCGATGTAATAGTTTGATATGCGAAATATCAACTTCTATTTTCCGAAAAATTTCGAGAAATATATTAAATCATATAAATATTCTAGTTGTTTAACAAGTCTTTAAATTCGCATGAAGTAACATAACTTCGGTAGTAATACGAAAATGTCTGCAATTTTCCACGTGTATTGAGATTTTGAAGATAGGTTTGTGGGTTTGAAGCTGTTTCACAGTACGTGAAGTCTTTTAACTTGTATGACATATCTTAATTATTCATAAATCTCCAAGAAAGTTGTAAAATATTTGAATTTTTCTTTCAAGTTTTAGCGTCATCCAGTAAGCATCTGCAATAAAAATCGCATGGTACTCCATAAATAATGGGAAATGATATGAATTCTTTGAAAAAGAATCCGATATGTTCTTACAGGATATTGAAACGTTTGGAATGAAACGATTTTTTGAGTTTTAAAAAAACTGTATTTTACATGTCAGACCCTTTTCAAAATTTCTGTATTTTTTGACATAATTCGGTAATTCGAGGGGTGCCCCCATGGCTATGTGCCCGCACTATGAGTTAGATGCTATAAAAATTAAATGTTAATTACTCAAAGAGTGTTGTAATTTGTTGTTAATTATATTTACACTTTGCTAAAACCAAAATTTATGGAAGTGCTGAACCATGATATTCAAAAATAGGAATTTAGATTAGCTTCTGATTTTATGCGAAAGTGACTGACATCTTTAAAAAACCAGCATATATGGGTTTAATTTTTTGGCATATGTAAAATTCCTGTTATTACTGAGATATAGTTTCAATACTCATATGCTGGTGCAATAATAATAATTTAGTAAGCATGCTTAGTAGTTTATTAAAAAGGAAGATCTCATTTTTCAATGACGTGTTAAACAGTAATTTGTCATTTTATATAGATATATATTTTATAACCATAATTTTTCTTTGACTCTTAGAAAACTCCTCCGCAGTATTATACTGAAAATATAACTACACCTGTCTCTCTTATCTGGTCCAGAAATGATAAGCTGGCTGATCCTGAAGATGTTGCTATCCTTCGGGGAAAGCTCAAGTCACTTGTATCAAGCTCTTGTGTAAATTTTGATCGTTTTAATCACTTAGACTTTGTTTGGGCTATTAATGCAAAAACCCTTGTATATAATGAGGTTTTAGCATTGTTAAAAAAATACTCTACTCGTTATTAGCAATAATTTTATTCCTAATAACGAGTCACATGTAAACTGCGATTATCATAGTAATTTACATGTGACGTTTTAATAAAGCTTCTGGAAACGTTGGTCTAACGATTACCTATCCTTTCAACCATTTGGTAACGTCCTCGTAACTGGGATAGGTAATCGTTAGACCAACGTTTCCAGAAATGTTATGCCGTTAAAATTATTTAAATTATATTTTTTTGTGATTATATCAGTCAGGGTACTGTCAGTACTATTTTTATTATAAATTATGTTGTTATTATCATGCAGATGTTGTAAAAAGTGTTTTAAGATTTTTAACATTTTGATTTTTTATGCTTTTACATTGCAAAAATTAATTTATTTTGAATATGATGGAAGCCTTTCTAACAGAGGTAGTTTCTCGCCATTAACTAAATTCATGTAAACCTGTTGAGTGATTTAAATATGTAAACTTTCAAATAACTTTTATTTACATTTTATTAAAACATTTAGCTGTGATAAGCTACTTTTTAGATAGTCATTTAATTGCTCACTGCTTGTACAGTTATTATATTTATCAGATGTGTTTTTATAGGTCCAAATGTTAAATATAACTTCCCTATTTATGTATGATTATTTTACATAAAAGAGGAGGGAAGAAAAGTGCCAAAGATTTATGAGATTCCTGTAGTCACCATAAATTTATTGCATGTTTAACGATCTTTTATTTTAAATAAGCTGTGCTTTTTAAACGTACAAAGAATTATTTAATACAAAATAGCTTTATATGTCATTTTATACATATATGTATGTATATGTATTAAATATAATCTGAATTTTCTGTAATATGTATTCTTGTAATCAAATATTGCCATATAAAGTTTTACAGGATAAATGGGAAAATATTGCAAAAATTCTAGACTTAATCCTTAAACTTCAGTGGTATGATATGCATCTCAGGAATAAAAGCATCGAATTTTGCCCTGGAAAATATCATGTGTACCGTGGTGCCTTCATTATTTTCAGTGAAAATATTCAGCATATTTTATTTTTAATTACTAATTATTTCTGTATATAGTTGATTATGTATTTAAAAATTGTGTGCAAAACATTATGGATCCATTGGATTATGGGTTGATTTATGCATCTATTAGATATGACCATATGAATTAAGCATAATTTTTTCTCAATATCGATTAAAGGTCAAACATTAATATATTATATTTGTGCTTTAAAATTTCAAAGCTTCTGAGTTTCAGTCTCTGAACTGGGGGGGGGGGAGATTTTTCAAGACACAGTTGTTGTATTCATTAACATGCTAATGGTAACATTTTACCTGCTAGAATAAAAATCCTGATCCAGAATCCCTATGTATAGTCGTAAATATTTGAGATCTTTTACTAAAACCATTTAAAGTAAAGTTTATCTGTTTTAAAGAAAAGCTCAGTGCTTAGCAAAGTTTTTATTCTGCAATGGGAAATCCTAAAAATAAGAACAGAACTGATGCTTTAGTAAACTGTAAATTCACGAAATCTTTTCATTTTTAAATTCTTTTGGAAAGAATGCTGTGTAAATTTATAGATTAAAAACTATTACAAATTTAATGAAGTGAAAAGAATTACATTTTTATAACAGTTGAAAACAAATTAACGTACCTGAATATTTTAAGTGGTGTGAATGTACTATTTAATGTATTAAGAGCTGCTTGAAGTGTTTTCTGTTGCTTTTTTAAATAGTTCATCTATTTAAAAAAGTCAAAAGTTCCAGCTTGCACATTATTTTGATAATTAAGTTTGTATGAATCGGATATAGTTATAAGTTGTTCTGAATGTTACTACTGAATCAATAAACTATAAAGATATTGTTTCTTTATTTCCTGTGTCATGTGTTTATTTATAAAATATAATGCAAAAAGGGCCAAAAGGAATGCAGATTTTCTTTTTTGTCGAATCTTCTTTACTTGTGGCTTCAAATGATATGCTTTTAAATGAACTGTCATTTTTAAATATTAAGATTTTACATTTTCTTTTTCATGGGGGGGGCATGCAAAGGGATGATTTGGGTTGATTTGGGTGAATGTATACAATGCTGTATTAGATGTAGTTTTATAGCATTTTGTGATGCTTGATATGAAGGAGCTAGGAAATGCAGACAGTAATTTTTCTTTTCTTTGTGAACACAAGTGCTACTCATATAATAACTCTATACCTTACTTTTTTTTTTTTTTTCAATTATAGCATGTAATATCAATTTCCCATTTTGTCATGACATTTTTTAGATCGATGGGTTTCGACTTACTATACCACATGAACCCTTTCACCATTATTAGAAGATCATACCCTTTCCTTTCCAAAACTCAAAAAATATATGTGTACATTTATTTAGATTTAGATTGTTTTTTTAATGTGTTTTATAACTACAAAAAGCAAAAAAAGATAAATAATATTTATCAACCTTTAAATGTTAATAAAAGTAGTTATTTATATTCATAAACTAAAACTAAATACTTAATACCTAAATAAAAAGGTTGGCTGTATTCCCATCTGGTTGAGAATCCCTGTTGTAGATATTATTAGGTAAGGAGGAAGATTTCTCTGGCTATATCGAATCCAATTTAATTTGTTTTCTATTATTAGGGCTAAAAAAATGTTAGATTTAAAAAAAAATTATATCATTATCTTTTACATAGCTGTGGTATTTTTTAATAACATGGGATAGTAAATCATTGTTCCAGATTTCTCATTTGAGATTAGTAACTTTTAATATCATTATTAAGGTTTCATTGACGTTCTTTTGCATGGTGTTCCTTGTTCTGCTGTTGATGATAAAGGCGGCATATCAGCAAATTTAATACCATATTTCTCGTGTATTTTCATCCTAGCTTTTTTTAACGCCAGCTTCTGAAATTTTTAAAAATAATCTCATAATTTCCCCCTCCCTAAATACATTTAAAGAACGAGCTCCCTATAATTTAAAATGGATTCGTCCACATGATTATTTTCGTTTTATTAACAAAAACAAACCCTCTCAAACTATCTTCGAATGTCGCGCCGAACCTTTCCTATCTAACTGTTGAACTTTATGCCAACCTAATACAAGAACCGAACAATCACAGCGAAGAAAACACGAAATGAAATTTAATCTATCATTTCTCAGACATTATTTGTAGATGATTTGAGACCTACAGCCAATAATAAAAACTGAATGGATACAAATCGTAGGGAAATAGAAACAAAGATATCTCATTTAGATATTGTAATGCTAATATTACTATGTATTCTGAATGGAATAGTTTTCTTTTAAAGAAATAATATTGCAATAATTACTTGTTGTTTATCAGTGACTACTTTTCATTTGTTACATTCTTATTGTGATCTCATCCTTCGGAAATAAATTATTCTCATAATTTTCCCCTCTCGATTGTTGGGGATGCAGGATTTTTAATACAGGAAAATACGTGTTATTTGTTGCGTTCACAACAATGGAGGTTTTCTCTTAATTCTCTTTGTTCTTGATCGTCCTTGTTTTTCTGCACCTGTTTGGAAGACGGTATCTAGGAGGATTTTTATCAATGTTAACGCCGCTTCTTCATTAAATTAACACGGAAAGGTCCTAACATTTAATAATACAGCTTAAGGAAGTTTGAAGACTTTTTCCTGTGAATTACTATTCTGAAAACAGAAATGCCTTCAATTCTTCATTTTTAATTCAAAAATTGCTAATTTATAATTTCTTTCTGCGTCGCGAACATGGTAATGATATAGGCAGCATTCTCTCGTCTTCCGTGGACACATTCTTTGTCGCAAAAGTCTGGCTTTGTTTAGGCAATCCTCAGCAAGGAATTCTAGCCGCAAATTGCCCACCAACGGCCGAGCGGTAAAGTCGCTGAACACTGGTAGTTCGGTCCGAGGTTCGAATCCCGCGAACGGGCTGGCTGCATGGATGTTTTCGTGGTTTTCCCCATGTGTAACGTGTATACGAGCCAGTTTCCCTTAGAAAGTCCTCCACGAAGGCATCCCTCCCCTTAGGCAGATAGCCCTAGTGTGCTTTGCCATAATTAAATACACCACACCACCACACCTAGCCGCAAATTTTTATTTGGATATTTTTCGCATTTAAATTTTATCGGTCTTAATTATGTTTAACACTGGGACTTAACCTGGCGAATGTGCTGACAGCGTATGGTTTCCGTAGTTTTTCCCATGGATAATAGTGTACTTTGCTTTCATTAATCAGCCTAACTAAAACAGTCTGGTTAAGTTTAGGTTGTTTCATTTCTTTCTTACCCTTTCCCCGAGTATTTGCATGTAGCACGTTGGAGGGTTTCAAGTGATTTATTTTCTCTCAAAGTGATCAATCGTTTTCTTGTACTTTTTGTAATTCTACGTATTTTTAGGCTTCTAATATCTCCATAGTTTGGTCAACTAGAATCACTTTGTTGTCTGAAATCTAGGCGTCTTAGCACAACGTTCCTTAAATGAACATATGCCGTGAACTAAGATTTAATGTCGTTTCCTCAATCTGTTAGGTTTTAATATCCAGTATTTAAATTATTAAACTTAAGAAAAATGTGATTTTTATCAGTGATAAAACTATTTGAAATTAAGTAAGTTTTGTTAAAACTCTAAAAAAATTAAGGAAGAGACTAAACATAATAAATAAATGGTACCTGTCATATTTTAGGCACTATTTATATTTACCCTCTGCAATTTGTTTTAAAGATTTTAGGCTTATAACTGAAAATAGGAAAGAATATAATTTCTTCTAATATTGTTCATTCATTTAAAAAAGTAATTATTTAACTCAACTCGCTCAACTTTTTAATAAAATTTTTTTTTTCTTGTTATAAGAAGAAATTTTCTTAACATACTGACTTATAAAAATTATTGATATTCGGTTAAGCTGACATTTTCTGCAGTATAATTAGGCAATACACTTATTGAAATGTTTTTAAAAAGTTTAAAAAAATAATGAATTTGTGTTCCTTAAAGCATTTTTATGAGAGGACTCTAATTGTCTCTTTTGTTTCATTAGATGTGTGAGTTTCATTTTGCTGCGTCCGACATCGAAAGAAAACTGAAAAAAAAAAAAAAAAAAACCCTTTCCAATGCAGTATGCGTTGTAAGCAATTCACTCGCATTGATAACTTAAGAGTTTATAAAAAAAAAAGGATTCATCTTCGAAAGTTTACTTGTGCGATATGTTTACAAGTTTTCCCGAAAATACCTGATTTGAAAAGACACCCGAAATCTCATGAAAGGTCTTACAGATATAGTAAATGTCCTAAGAAATTTAGTGAACTTTATCATTTGGAACGTCGTGAAGTTTCCCATCTTAAAAGATATACTGAATGTTCGCAGACATATGAAAATTCATAACGTTACTTTTAAGTGTAGATCCTGCTCAAAGATATTTGGTGAACATGATAATTTAAAACAGCATGAAGCTTTCCATTTTAAAAGTTGCATTGAATGTTCGGAAGTTTTTATAAGCCAAAGGGATTTAAGATTAATCTGTGTTAATTTCAGGTTTTAGTTCCCTTTTCCAAATGGCCCACCAGCGGCCGAGCGGTAAAGTCGCTGAACACTGGTAGTTCGGTCCGAGATCCGAATTACGCGAACGGGCTGGCTGCATGGACGTTTTCGTGGTTTTCCCCATGTGTAACGTGTATACGAGCCAGTTTCGGAGTGTATCCGAGCCAGTGTATACGGACTTTCCCTTAGAAAGTCCTCCACGAAGGCATCCCTCTCCTTAGGCAGATAGCCCTAGTGTGCTTTGCCATAATTAAATACACCACACCACAACCTTTTTCAAGTAGTGTTAAGTAACTTGGAAAGGTCTCGAATTTGGGAGAAAGGATGAACTTAGGGGGAGAACATCGAATCTAGAATAGTCAATTTTGAGGTTGCCAATCATTTCTTAGCGCAGCCATCGTATTTTATAATATCTTACATATATATATATATATATACATATTAACACATATAATTATATATATTAATATCGTTCTTTACTAACTCTGTTTTCTGTATTTTTGACTGAATACCAATATACGATATACAGTCCTAAAATAAAATGCTATTCAAATAAATTAAATGATAGTAAAGGGTTCATAAAAACATTACTGAACATCCATTAGGTTACCTTAATTTAGTTTAAATGAAGTAAGGATGTAATAACTTTCTTTAAAAAATATTGCAAACTGTATTCTCGCATATTAACTAGCAGTATGATAAAGTTCATAAATTAAAGGATATTAGCAAATTCAAACGATATGTGTCTTCCTAGTGCATAAAAATTTACTTAGGGATTAAATATCGTATTTCAATTCTGAAGAGATACTCATTAACTTAACAGAACTTAGTAAATTAATGTATTCACTTGCAAACACTATTAAGTATACAGTTTGAATATATGTTCTTTTATGTAATTGCATACACCGACCTCTTTTAAGAAAACATCACTCAGATAAAATGTATTTTAATATTACTATCTGCAAAATAGAATGAAACTCTATAGGTACTATCATAATCTTCGCATGACATTTACACTGAAATTTGCTTTAAAATATATTGTATTATAAAAATTCAATCAAAGCAGATTGCTTTGTTAAAATAGTTAGAGATTTGAATATTTAATTGGATTTCCTTTTCATTACTTACTATTTATTTCATAGTTTTGAAAACATATTCGTACTTGACCAAAAATTATCCCTTCTGAAAGATTTTCGGTTCTTTGAAAACTGTAATTGTTCAATAACCTAATGAAAACTGACTAATCTTGTGTTTTGTAGATAAATATGAGTACTGAAATCAAAATGTTATAAAAATAGTTTCTTAATCCTCAATTTGTATTAGACGGAACTAATAGCA